TGATGTTTTGAAAGGTAAACACGGTCTCATTCTTTGCGACTTCTTGGGTGATCTGCTCATCGCTCTTGGTACGCTCAGCATCACCATTCGCGACAGGATCACGTCGACCAGTCTCTTCATCTTGCTTGTCGCCCTTGGCTCTACCACCAGTCGCAATAGACTCTTCGACTTTCTTGGGGACTTGTCCTCGCTTGAAGACGGTGATCGCGCCGCCTCCGACGTTGGGCTTCATGAGTTCCATACCCAACGCAGTGAGGAACACGAAAAAGATGAAGAAGGCCCAGAGAAAGCCAAAGTTGCGCCAGAGATGAGAGCGTGTGTATGTGAAGGATTCTTGAATGTACGCTGCGCCAGATACAGACGTTGAACCAGGCGATGCACCCGCAAGAGTACAGCCCTGGTTCTGAGGTCGTGCATTCGGGCCTTGAGGCACAAGATATGGCGGTTCGCATTGGAGAGTGAGGTACGCGAACTCATTGGCCATGAGACACTCGAAACCGTACTGAATCCAATTGATCCATCGTAGCCATCCAAACCAGGGATGCATCGAGTCCGGCGGAATGAGATAACCCGTATACACAACGAGAATCTGAATCGCAACACCCGTGAACCGCGTCGCGACATCCAACGTCCCGCACCAAGCAGATATAGCCCTAAAGAACGCATACGTCACCATGGTGACCAACCAAAGAATGAGATTCGAGATAAAAAACTGCGACGCCGTTCTCGCAAGATTCGCCATAAAGTAAATAATCACATTAAAAATAATGACCTGTATAAAAACAAGCGGGACGTCAACGACAGTCTGGGCGATGGCGAATGCAGAAGGGCGGTAGAACGAGAACGACTTGTGCTTGAGAAGAATAGGCTTTGACTCAAATGCAGCGGTCTGTTCAGCTAGTGCGAGGAGGGCATTGAAGAGAAGAAGAAAGAAGAGGGCACCGCCGCGGGGAAATGCACCGGCTGCTGTGTCGGGGAGGTTGTAGAAGAGCGAACCGACGATGAGGCCTTGGAATAACAGACCGCCCCATTTTCCAAAGAGAGATGCTTTGTCGCCGAACATGACGAGGAATTGGCGGTGCGTGCATGCTAGGACCTGTTTGTGGAAGGCAATTTCGTAGTTCTTCTTCTTACTCTTCTCACTCTCGTTCCGTCGCCGCTCTTCAGCTAGTGTCGTGAGCTCAGCTTCAAAGTCATCGATATCGCGAAGATTCTTCTGGTAATCATCGCTGCGACGATATGCATCCGAAAACTCAACCGCTGAGCGCGGGATACGATCTTCCCAGCCTTCACGAACACTGCGCTCATGCTCATCCGTCACACTCGTCAGAAAATCGGCGGTGGTCCAACGCTCAGGACACTCAAAGCCCAGATTCTGAAAATACTTCTTTGCATCTTCTGCGCGACCAAAGTACAAACACTTTCCCTCATCAATAAGCAGGACTTTATCGACGAGGTCGTAGAGTGTTTCACCAGCTTGGTAAAGCGACACGGCGGTGGACGTATCAGCCATGTTGGTCATGGCGCGAATAGACTTGACGTATTCCACTGCAGTGCTCGCATCAAGACCTTTGCTCGAATTATCCCAGCCTTGTACCGAAGCACGCGTAATCATCGCTTCAGCGATAGAAACGCGTTTGCGCTCGCCGCCCGAAACACCACGAATAAACTCATTGCCGACTTTCGTACCGAGTGTATGCTCAATCCAGAAAAGCTTCGTAACAACCCTCAAAAATTCACGGACGTAGTCTTGACGCGTTTCACCCTCCAGACGAGATTCCTTACCAGGCGTGCGCGTCTGCAGCGCAAAAGTAAGAGTGCGCTTGACAGACAGCGTGGCGTAGTGAAGATCATCCTCAGGGTTATAAATAATCTCACCGCGGAAATCTTTCGCCATGGTCGCTGCGTCGGTTCCACCGTATGTAACTTCTCCCTCGACGGATTCAAAGCCCGCGCGTTGATTGCAGAATGTTTTGAGGAATGTACTACATCCAGCGCCGGGACGACCGAGCACGAGGAGTAATTCACCTGGTCTAACGCACCCGTCAAAGTTACTGATGAGGTCTCGAACGGGTGGTTTCGCCATCGCGGCTTTGGGTCCTTGAGTGAATAATTTCCCTAGTTTGCGCGGTAGACCTAGGAAGAAATCGCCAACTGTAGGTTGAAGACTTGATCCGAGACCGACGCCGCGAACAGTGAGGTTTCGAAAGATAACACCGCTGTGACGCGTTTTTTCCTCTTCACTTTGTTCTTGTCGCTTTTGACCAAAGATTCGAGACATGAGACGGTCGAGTTCTTCATTATCTTCGTTCGCTTCTTCTTTCTCAGCGGGTGTAGAGGCGTTCGTGCGTCGACGCGAGAGCACGCGGAAGAGATCATCTTCCGTACGATGAGACTTTCGTTTCTCAAGGGTCGGTTTCTCATTCTCAGTGTGAGATTTGATCGGTGCAAAGACCGGCGCATCATCGTTGGAGGATGTACTCTTGCGCTTTTCCTCAGTGGATTCGCCGCGTGGAAGAACAGTGCTCGAAGAAGAATTGCGATCGAGGATAGGCTGTTGAGGCTCAGAGGCTAACGCCGCAGCTGTACCGGGTGAGGCTGAACTGCTGGCGGTGACATGCTCATACGTCGCAGCCGCAGCCGCAGTATCACGGCCCGCAAACCCGGCCTCAAGCTGTCTATCAGCGTTTCCCATTGGGGTAATCGAGTTGACGCTTGGCGTAACGGGGAAACCGCCTGGGATGTCCTCATCCCTAGGCGTAGGTCTCTGATCAGCCATTTTGACGTCAATAACCTCACAGTAACGATGAAGAACACTCTACGGGCATTGACCATAATAAACAGACATTTTTTCACTTGTGATTTATCTATGACGACATTACAGAACAGTCTAGTCGGGCTTTCGGACATGCTGGAATTGCGACGCGGTCCGGGCGTTGAGTGGAGATTAGGCGTCATCGATACAGAGTAGATTACCCTAAAGCGATCAAAGAGTCAATTAGTGCCTCGGAGAGATTAATCTTGGACGTGCGAGTAACAGACGCTACGAGTTGGGTTACGCATGACGTTGCAGCGGCATTTTTAATTGTCCGACCGACGGACAGTGTCGTCAGCTGGAGCTTGTGATTATCAGCTTGTCATACACTTTTGACTTGTCAGACAACCTTGACGTTTCGGGATATTTGTTAGTTCGCGCTTCGGTCCCGAGCGGATTGCAACGTAACAAGATTAGGGCTAATTGATATGGAATATTTGCAATTTTTCTTTTAATTTTCTTCGATCTGTGCGATTCATCGCATTCAATGTCTCTCATGCGTGTAAGATTTTATGAATGCTGTGTAACTGCGCCCGTAGCAAAAATTCGTCATTAACTCGAATGCGGCGTTCTCACCCAAAGCCCCCGTCTCACTCACTGTATTCCCCCGTATCACCTACTGAAATGCCCCCCCCCCAAATCTCCACCGCTAATCCCATCAGTTCTCACTAAAAGAAATACGGCATCGCGCGATGGCACTAAAACATTCCGATTACCAGGAATTCACCAGATGAAAAAACAACCCGAGCCCGATCAAGTGAGCTAGTCTAGACCGTTTTATTTGAAACATGGCCAGATAAAAATCAGATCATGATCTCCGATGATTATCGGACATTAACGCTGCCATTTCGAGACTCCTGCAGTGAGTGTCTCAATGTCTGTCTCAGCTCGACCTCTCATATCGCTGCGTCTCAAAGGCGGGCGCCAATTAACCGCCGACAGAGACAATCCACCATTTCTCACGCTACGGACGAAATGCTCCTAGTGGGAGATGTACCCGCGCGGTTTTTATCTGATCTCGTACCTGAGTTATTCCCATGAAGCTAAACCGAAGCTAAGTTTGAAGCATCAAAACACCATGACCAAAGAGTCAAGATATCCAAGTTAAAGCAGAGACGTGTGACTTTTCGCTGTCAAAATTGATGCAAAAGTGCTGCGACATGTACGGCTCATACGATTCACATTTCTTCTTTTTCCCCTCAGCCCAGACCCAGCCCAAATGCAAGCCTCGAATGCATAGGGAGGTCTTGTGTTACACAAACCTCAAACCTCAAGGGCATGCGATGCCCAACTTCCCTGTCGCGATCGTCGGACTGGGACCGAGATTCTTGATTCGCTGGACGTGCTGCATTTTGCTTCTGTGGGCGTAACGGCAGTTCCGCGTGCATGCTACCGCTGGCCACGGTCTATATGAAGGCCCAATCCCCCCGATGTTCAGGCATAGATTCACAGACAATAACAAATCTCAAGAGCACCACTCACTTTTTTTATATAAATTATCATCATCTACAGTCAAGAACCATGTGTCAGACGGTTCAAGAGAACGGCAACACGGAAGCGCCCCAGGATCAGAGCCAAAGCCAAAGCCAAAGCCAAAGTCAGAGCCAGAGCTGCACCCCATCTTCGGCTACGGGATCGACGCAGGGTCCTAATCCTGCCACTCTGCCTCGATACCACGTCGAGACCTTCCCCATCCCCGCTCCCCTCTCCGAATATGACCTTGATCATCGGCGCACCATGACCATTGAGTCCCAGCAGCGACTGTGGCCCCAGGACATCTGGGTTCACAGCCCGCATGGTCGCCAGCTGTACCAGCCTGTGCTGATGTTTGAGACAAGAGTCCCGGAGGAGAAGCCCGAGACCAACGGAAGTGCTTCCAAGAGCGGTTAATTGAGATGCGATATGGGATTTGGGTTGGGATATGAGATTGGGTTGGAGGAGTCGTGATGGGAAAATGACTTGGGACGGTATGGAATACACGCGACGGAGTTGGGGTCTTTCATGACAGCGCCAATCAATAGGGTTCTGCTTTATTCTGCATTTCGACCAAAAAACCACAAAACATCAAACAACAAGGGCTTTTCTACGTCTGTACCATCGCGTTTGGGGTCAATCACTTGTATTAGCATAGCGAACACGATTGATGAGAAATAATAACATCACGCTTACCTCCCCAATTGAAGCTTCAACACTCAAACCTCCACTGCACATCCTCCCAACCCCGCCTCATCTGTATCCCAGCCCCCAACCCAGCGCCATACCTCTCAGGCCTCACCGTCCCCCCCGCAAGTTGCGGTCCCAGCTTCTTGACATCGCCAAAGCCCATTCCCACAGCGTCAATCTCGAAACCTAGTAGTAATGCAGACGCGAAGCCGATTATCTCTGCGAAAGCGAGGTTGCGGCCGGGACACAGATGACGACCGCCGCCGAAGGGTATGTACGCTGCTTTTCGCTTGCGCTCGTCTTCTGCGCTGCCCTTGGACGCGGGGAGGAAACGCTCTGGATTGAAGACGTTGACGTCTGAGCCCCAGACGCTGTCCTCGTAGTGTGCTACGCCAGCGGGGAGTTGTAGGTCTGTATCCTTTTTGAGAATATACGTTGTTCCTTCGGGTGTTGTGACGCTCGTGTCTTGGAGGATGCGTCGCATGCTAAGAGTCTGGTTCGCAAGCCTCAACGTCTCGCGATAACAGCTCACCAGCAGCGGCATCCTCTCCTCAAAATCCCCAATGTTAAACGCCGCACTCCTCTTCCCATTATTCTCCTCAATAATAGCTGCATCCTCAGCTTCGGCTCGTATACGCGCGAGGAGATCCGGTCGGTCGAGGATGTACAGCAAAAGCCAGTAAAACGTCGGCACGGCATTAAGCGTCGCCACGTTTGGGAGAATAACCTCAAACTTGCCAATCTCATACCCTGTAAGACCGTTCTTTCGCAGTGCGCCGGCGCGGTTCCGTACGAGGGCTGAGACGCTGGGGTCGTGGATGTCGTGGTCTTGGGCGTACCATTTGCAGGCGATGTTTTGCAGCGTGGAGCGCGCTTTGTAGGCTTTTGGCATCGTGATCGAGGGGAAGAGCGAGAGGAGGAAGTAGGGGACTGATTCTTCGAAAAGCCTGATTCATTAGCGATGCGTAGATGCGCGATCGGGAGACATACCACATGTCTTCAATTAAAGAGGGATCGCGATTGAACGGATCAGTGTCGCCGTACAGAGAACGCGTTGTAGCGAGACTCATAACATCGCGACACCAAAGATATAAATTCTCAACGTGTAGTCTTCCATTGCCGACCGTCTCTTTTCCCGCATTGATCGCATCAGCACGTATCGTCGCGCCGTTCAACTTCGCAGCGATACTCCCCAAGAAATGCACATTCATCTGCTGCAAATGCCTAACCTGGAAGCTCGCATGTATCGCCTCGGTGAATTCATCGTAAACGCCCGGTACCTTAACTTTCGCAAACGTCTCCTGCTTCAGCGCAAAGGTCTTTTTCGCGTAGTCGAACACAAAGGGCTCGAAGGACGCGGTCTTGTTGCGGAGGAGGGTCTGGAGGAGGGCGGGATCGAAGGCGGCGTAGACTTTGCCGTTGAGCATGGGGAGGGTCGCGATTGGGACGTGAGGGTTCTCATTGCTACGATTGACATGTTAGGTATTGCAGAGATTGGAAGAGAGAGACGGACTGGATGATTCTGGGGTAATCTGCCTGGTGACGAATTATCCCGATGATGTGTCCTACCCACGGAATCGACGGTTTCAAGACGGGCGGTTCGCGTGGGTCGATGTGGGGAGTTAGTAGGCGGTTTAGCAGGGCGAACGCCACTATAACCGCCAAAACGGCGGTGCTCAGAATAGTGACATTCGTAACGCGATAGTCAACGAGACTTGACAGTAGATATTGAGAATCCATTGTCGCTGTGGATGAGAGAGGAAGTGAGAATTTCGGCGGATTTATTTGATGGGCGGTGAATTGTTAATGGTGCTGACTGTATTGGTTCCTGGTATCGCTAGTGCTGAGGCCGGAATTCCGTTCGAGGGGACACCCGACTCGGCCAGTCATCGTGTATTCATTTGCTTTTCAGGATTGTAAGCGCTTATTTCGCGCATTCGAGATTGTACTCATTGCAGAAGGTTTAATTACTCAGCTATAAAATTGTCAATTTTTAGAAGTCGTGAGGTATTACGGCCAACAATTGAAGCAACGTGTCGTATTTGTTGATGCTGTTTCAGTGAAGATGCACTGAAGCTTCCCCACTGTTGACGAGCAAGCATTTAACTGCCGAGAGCACAAAACGGTCTCTCAACGTTGAACGACTACGGTACAAACTCAATATCTATCTCTAGTACCAATTGTAGCGAAACTCAAAGTTTCGCAGCCGGTTTCTCCGCCTTTATCTGCGCCTTCAAAACCCTCCTCAATATCTTCCCACTCGGACTCTTCGGAATAACATCCAGCACCCTAACCCCGCCCTTCAACCATTTATGCCTCGCCTTGTGACTCTCAACATGCTCACAAACAGCCCTCACAACATCTTCCTCCTTCAAACCATTCGTTTTCTTACTTTTTACAATAAACGCTAACGGTACCTCGCCTGCGCGCTCGTCCAAAATGCCTATGACTGCGCAGTCATCTACGTATGGATGATCGAGGAGATGCGCCTCCAGTTCTGCGGGTGCAACTTGATGGCCCTAAATAATCAGCATTACTCTTTAATAAGGAAAAAATGGTAGGGGTACCTTGACTTTTATAAGCTCCTTGATTCTATCGACGATGAAGAAATGATCATTCCCGCGTGGTGATTTCCGCACGAGGACTTCATCGCCCGTCCTCAACCACCGCCCATCATCACGGTGCACAAACGTCTCAGCGTTAGCTTTCTCATTATGAAGATATCCCAGCACTACATTCGGCGCTTGAACGTATAATTCGCCTGGTGTTTCGTAGGCAGTGACTACAGAGCCGTGCTGGTCGATGATCTTGACTTTTGCGCCGGGGAGTAAAGAGCCTGATGAGCCGAGAACGGGATCTGCTTCGCTGGTGTGAAATACAGACGGTGAAGCCTCCGTTAAGCCTGGTTTGTTAGTATGAGGATATAGTGAGGGAGGTGAAACGTACCGTAGCCTTGGCTGATTCGCCATTTTGGATATAACTCGAGTAACTTCTGAATCGTCTCGCCTCCCAAGGGCGCAGCACCAGAGAAGACAAGCCTCACTGAGTCGAGATTGTATTTCTGGCATTTATCCTGGTTACTCAAAATCTGCACGATGATCGGCGGTACAACACTCAATTGCTCAATGCGGAATTTCTGAATAGCAGCTAGCAATTGTTCGAGTTGGAAGCGCTGCAGGACGATGATCTCGTCGCCGCGATACTGCGCTATGTGGGCGATTACAACGAGTCCGTAGATGTGGCTGAAGGGTAATAGACCGAGAGCTACTTGCGTGTCGATGTTGTCCTGGGCGCGCGTTATGGACTCAAAGGTATGGATCATGAGGGTACATGCGATGACGTTGTAGTGAGAGATCATAACAGCTTTCTACGCTTGTTAGACAGAACAACAAGAAGACGGTATACGTACGGGAAGACCTGATGTGCCGCTTGAGTAGCATAAATACGCGACTTGTCGTTTTCCCTGTCCTGGCGTCCAAGCTGATAACTCCAACGGCGGCAGCGTCTTGCCCTCCTCGATGAGATCTTCAATAGTTTTGAAGGATTCTTCAGAGGGAGTTTCAGGCAATGGAAGCAAGAAAATATGCTTTTTGGGAATGCCAACGGCAGAAGCTGCTTTGAGCGCTGTGCTGAGGAGAGGAGAGCAAGTGAATAGTGCTTTTGCGCCTGATGATCGGAGTTGATGTTCCAGTTCAGACGCTGAGTGCGCTGAACTAGCCGGCGTGACGATGCCGTCTACACGGTGAATGGCGTGTGTAACGGGGATATAATCAATCTGCGAAGTCATTAGATGTACTCACACATTGGGTAAAAGGGGATTTACCGTGTTGAGGGCGTAAATCGCCACGACTCTATCCCACGCCGTTCCATCATTCGGATCAACCCCGATATTTTTCGCTAAGCCCCTCGCAAGAAGGTCAACACGCCTCGCAACATCCTCCGCAGTCCACGAAGCCCCGGTCACACCACACGTATACGGCCTCTTGGACTTATCAAAGCTCTTCCGCCCTGCTTTTTCAGTGTTGATAAAGTCTGCTACGCTGATTGAATCAGGTATTTCTACATCTGTTAGTACGTGCTCTGGGAGGCGGGGCACTAACAGTACCTGGGAGGTTAGGCACCCAAGAGGGAGGGTAAAACGCCATTTCAAACGAGTATGAGGTGAGATTGGCTATTGAGGGGGCTTGGGGATGGGATTGATGGGTTTATTGATGTTTTTAAGCTGTTGATGAACCGAGGTTTGCCTCTTCAAGTTCCGCGGATGAAATACCGAGCTGTTGAGATGGTATGGCGGGTGGACCAATGAGAGGAGGGGGGATTGAGGAGCGTGGGGAAATCTGGGGAAGGCACGTGAGGGATCTTCGTGGTTTACCCTGGAGGATTGGGTTTAGTGGTTCTTGGTGAATGCGTACGCGGCTTTGTGAGGGTGTAGGACGAAGGAATGGCTTTTTTTGAGGAAATACATTGGTTCTGTTTCCATGTAAATCGTTGCAATACGATAGATGCAGGTACAAGGTTGAGAGTTTTGAGATTGAGATACGCGATAAACTCAAACCCTGTCACGTCGTATGGAATGATGTAGGCATTGAGAGCTTAAGGTACAAAGGCCAAATTACCAGCCGTCACCCTACAATATCTAGAATAGTGAAAGTAAAAACTCAACTATAAAAAATAGAACAGTATGTTATTCCATAAAAAAAGAAGTTATCGCAGTAATCTCATGCTGAGAGGAAGGCAAAAAACGTGGTTCCGCCCGGGATCGAACCGGGGACCTTCTCGGTGTTAACGAGATGCCATAACCAACTAGACCACGGAACCCAGCGCTAGTTTTGATTGGTTGAAAGACTTCTGCGAATGAGAGTACAAGTTGACGGCCTTCGCCGCACGGATTGGACAGACTCAATCGGGTCATGCTCAACGGTGAAGCTTATCGAGTTCGCAACGTCGCCATATCGATTGAGATGGACAACTTGACTCATCAGGGATCTTAAACATTAATATCAATTTATTCATGAGTTATTCCTTGACCAAGATGCCAATATTACCTGTAACGCCTGTGATCTGCATGTGTACCCCACCAAACCCAATTTCATCACCATTCTGGTATAGCATCATCAAACCGGCAACCTCGTCTTGGCCCTACTCAACGTCTCAGCACACCTCCTCGCAATATCACTCTTCTTCCCCAAAATCCACAGAATCCTAATACACTCCTCCCCCCTCCCCAACC